AAAAACAAAAGAGATAAACTAACACACACACACACACACACACACGCGGGGCTGTTGACGCATCCGTCCGCACGCATGCCTCCAATGGAGGGGGTGCAGCTGCTAAACATATCCTTTGTTAACATGATGATGGGGGAAAGGGGGACTGCAGTGCTTCTTCTCTTCTCTCATTCCTACCCGTCTCCTCTACACGGCTACAGGGGCGAAAAACTAAAACCAAAAAACAATGCAGCAAGGAGTGAATTGGCAGGCGTCAATAAAAAAAAACAATGGGAAAGAAAAGAGAAAAAACTGAGTAAGTGAGGGGCGCGACACAAAACACAACGAGGAAAAAAACAAAACAAAAAAAAATAGGGGCATTGGGTAGGCAAAAAAGAACAGGTCGATGACCACCTTCTTCTTCTGTATATTTTCCGCTTTCCTTCAAAAGCAAAAAAAAAAAACGCCTCAGCGCATCACGCCTCCGCAGACAGAGGAGGTTTTCTTCACAGCCATTGTAGCCCTGCTGTTTTTCGCCCATCTTTATCATACTTCTTTAGTTTGTCCCCCACCCCTCTTTTTTCCCCCTCCCCGTTTGGCTTTAATTTTGTTATTTACGTTTTTTTTTCCCCCCGATTAAATTGTCTCAGTCGCTCCCTGCTGCCCCCAATATGCATATAGTAATTTACATACAGACTCTTTTTCTCCTTCATCATCGGGCGGTGAAGGCAGCAGCAGCAGCAGCAGCGGCGTGTGCAGCCCGCCCATTTTTTTTTGCTTACCTTCTGGTTCCCCGTGTGTCCCCCCCGCCCAAGTTCAGACACACATGCGCGTTTTTGTTTCGTTTCTTTTGTCTTTGCTTTCCTTCTGTCGTACTTGTCTCGTTCGCCTCCCCCCCCCCCCACCGGAGGTGTTGGTCGCCCGCTCAAAGGAGTATCCCCACCGCAGGCGGTGGTGTGCGATACAGCTTCTTCGCGTAATTCGTTTATTTAACCTTTCCCGTTTTTCTACTCTTGCGCTGCATGTACATGGACAATAATAAACTAGTAACATCGCACAAGAGTGTGCATGCATGTGGAACATATATGTGCCGCCGCACTTCTTCTCGCGCCCACACACACACACACACACGTGCACGCACGCACATTTTCCCCCTCTTACATCAATGTAGTCCGTCTCTATCCCTTGCGCTCTCTCTCTCTAAGTGAGCAAGTATGCGTATAGGTGTGTGAGGGAAGGCAACGTTATTTGGGCGTGTGTGGGCAAAAGACTTCAAAACGAAGTGTGTGTGCGCGTGTGTGTGACTATACATCGCAGGTGCGCATCGACTTCCACCATGCCACACAAATGACACAAAACAACACAGAGTGCACAGAAATAGATATATAAATATATAAGCATATATATTTGCATATGAGAAAGTAAATTCAGCAGGCACACACAGTAGAAAAAAAAAAAAACAAAAAACGAGCAGGTTGCCACTTCCTTCACTCCAGATCGAATACAGAAACGAAAAAAAAAACGAGGATTCTAGACACGCATGCCTCCACACTTTTGTCTCCCAATGACCACCGGGATTAGGGTCATAGCCAGATTACATAAGCAGTTCAAGGCATGGTAAAAGGTGAGTGCAGTGCAACAGTCGTCCTAGTGGTAGACTGTGTTGGCGTGGGAAGGCGGCAATAGAGTGTATACGGGCAGCCTCCCCAACGGCCAGCCACAGCAGAGGAAAGCAATGAGTCGCAAACATTCCGCACCCACAGACACGCACACACGGAACTGTATATATATTGCTTGTATAGCCCGAGTGATGAGGAGAAATGCCCAGAAGTAAAACAAGGTAAGATAAAAGGGAGGGAAAAACAGTATACAAAAAAAAAAGGAAGAGAACTGGCAGAAGGGGTGGGCAATGAAAAAAACAAGTCATCCGTCCTTAAATGCTGCTGCTTACTCCTCTTGTTTTTCTTCAGAGTGCCCCCTCTTCATTTTAACTTTTCTTGTCGTCCTGCATTGGGCGTCGATGCTGTCTTTTAGGAAGGATATGAGGCAATTCATTGACCGCACATGCTTCTCATGCGCGGCTGCCTTTCCTCCCTCGCCACATCTCTCTCTTTCCCGTTATTGCCTCTCTCCACGCAACTCCACGACAGCGCCGGTGTGAGAAGGCCCCCTCTTCGCCAGCCCCACTCCAAAAAAAAAACACACACACACACACACACAAAAGAAAAAAGAGCGGGTGCGTCATGCCAACGCCAGTTACCCATTCGCAGCGTTTGCTCCGCAGGGTTGTTGACACCGCCCCGCAATGGCGAGGGGAAGCGGCAGCCAGGGAAAGACGAAAATGAAGGATCGCCGCACCCGCATACACGGAGACCACCCAAAAAGACCGCATCCCGATACGACTGCAAGCAGCCACGGACGAAGATACAAAACAGAAGGTAAAAAAAAAAAAGCGACCTCGTTTACATTACAAAAGGGGGAAAAATAAATTTTAAAAAAGCAGGGCTACTGCGAGTGAAAGAGATCCAAAAGGAGAGCAGGGATAAGGCAACGGTGATCGCATCTTCAAGGAACCCAGTCGTGAATAAAAAACAGTACCCTCGTTTCCAAACTACTGACATCCTTTTTCTTCTTTCTTGCTTTCGTTTTTGTTTTACTATTCCTTTGGTTTTCCTCATTTTATTTTACCCTGTCAACGTTCCACACACGGTTCACTGAGTTCGCCAGACGCATGCAGCTCCTTCTCTCGCCGCATAAGCCACCACCCCCCGACCCTACACACCTCCACTATCCTCAACTCCCATCACCCCTCACCAACGCCACCTCCTTACGGCAGTTACAGTACAGAAAAGATTACACACAAAAGCCAAGCACCCAAGCTGAGGATGACCGATAGAAAGATACACCCGCTCACAGAGGGAGAGCAAAGAAGGCAACACAAAAACAACAGCATATATTCATATAAGGTTGAAGGAAGCGAGAAGCAGATTACAAGTGGTCTACGCGCACCACCACCACCACCACTGACGCGGTTTACAGAGAGAAAGAGTGCCCATATATACACACGCAGCAACGGTTATGAAATACGTTCATAAACGGGCAGACTTGTGTATGTGAGTTACATTTGTCTGTACACACCTACATCATATAAGTATATAGATGTATATAAATATGATGTATGTATGCCCGTAGCATTTGTTTAATTGCAGATGCTTCCAACGCAGATCTTACTTGTATCAAAAGCGGAAGAAGGAAGGATGAAGCAAAGCGATCCAAAAGAAGAACCGTCGTTGAAAAGGAACAATAACCGCCCCATAACTGATTCATCGTCATCATTTATTCCCTTTCAACTCCCTCCTACACGCCCCCCATCGCGTCGCCTTGTACATCGCCTTCATTCACTTTGCAGAGACTAACAACTCAAGGACGACATACGCAGTCATTTACGCCCTCTCTCTCTCTCCCTGTCTCACTGCAACAAAAAGAGGGTAATAAAAAAACGGAGCGGCAGGGGGGAAAAAAAAACGGAGTCACACAGATGCTGTGTTTTTTTTGGGGGTATAAAAAGGCTATCGGGTCTGCATCCGCAGTCGCTTCCCATTTTGTTTTTCTTCCCCCGTTCGTTTGTTCGTTCGCGTTTCTGCGCGTATTTTTTTCCCTCGCCTTTTTTGTCTCTTTCCTCCCGCTTTTCATCCCGTTTTCCTTCACGCTTTATCTTCCCCCTTGTCAAACATTCTCTTTTTTTCCTTGTTTTATTTATTCTGCGCCGATGCGTCTCACTCCAAGCACGTTTTCCTTCTCCCCCCTCCTATTCCCACTCTCCTGCCGCCCCCAGCCCCTCCTCTCTCTTCCGTTCGCTTGCGCTCCTGGCAGCCCACGCCCCCAGCCGTCACTGCCGCCGGATTGCGCGGGGGTGTTGTCATCTCTCGCCCCCGCCCCCCGGGGCACTGCTCGACCAATATGAAAATAAAATATTTCAGTATGCGCCGCGTCCTACACCATCCGCCCTTTCGCCTCCGCCTACTTTTTGCGTCACCTTCGCTCCCACGCGTGCAGCTGTCGCCACGTTCTTCTCCCAATTTCCTCGCGGCGCAGCAGAAGCACACACACACACGGACGCCACAGGAAGCAAGGAAGACTCACCTGCTCGCAAAATGACACGTGTGGGGCGTTGTGCGCGATGCATGCCGCGCGCAAAGATATATATATATATATATATATTATCGGCGGGTGAAAAAGAGGGGCGTTGTCGTAGGGAGTGGGAAATGGGGGAGAATTAAAAAAAAGTAAACAAACAGCACGAGCGACATTGGTAACGAGCACCATGTGCCTTTGGGCGAGTGGACGCTTCTCAGCCCAACTCATGTTCTTTCTCTAAACCACGTTCCTTTCTTTCTTTCTTTCCCCCCCCCCTCTGTGTTTTGCCTGGTTACGTTGGGGAGCGCTTCTTCCCCGCCTTCTTCCCCTCCTTTTATATTGATTTCATTCTAACTCCCCACTTCCCATTCCATTTCACGTCTGTTTTTTTTTTTTGGTGTTGTGTTGCTGTTTATTTATTTATTTTTTTTTGTTTTGAGCCCTGACACCGAGCTAAAAATACTACGCAGTGTTGTCGCTTTCAGCAGCCTTCCTGCGGTGATGGGCGTGGCTGCCCCTCCCCCCCGCGCCTGGGTGGGCAGGGGCGAGGTTAAAGACGAGATCGTCGGGGGCCTTCACCAGTTCGCGGCGGACCAGGCGTTGCACGATGGGCGCACCGTACGTGTAGGTACTGATGGGCACAAGAAACTTCTGAATGTTGTCCACAAGACACCAGAACTGCTCCACGTCCGCCGCGTCTAGCACTCGCTGAGCAACGTAATTGGCGTAAGCATTCTGCATCATGAGACAGAGCATACTTGGTAGTTCTTTGCCGTCCGAATGCACTTCTAGCACTGGCCCACCGGCACTCTCTTTTTCACGTTCACGCTCCTTATCACGTCGGCCTTTCTTTGGGTAGCCGTTACGGTGCTTCTCTGTCTCATCCTTCTTTACTGGGGCCGAACGCTCAAACGCCAAAACCTCCACAGGTGAGGTCTCTAGTCCCTCCACAGGGGAGCAGAGCATTTGAATAAGTTCCATGCGTTGCTCCGGATCAGCGCGAATAAAGAGTTTTTCCATGACATTGGAGGCAAATTTTTGCTTGCTAAACTCGTAGAATTCCTTTTTTAGTGCATCAAAGACACGAGCCACCTTATCCTCATCCTTCATGTTTTGTAGCACATGTTGAATGACGTAGTTTCCATACTGATCCTTCGCCAAGGTATCCACGCATTTTAATAACTCTGAAAAGATGGCTTCCTCTTGATCCGGGCAGTGTTGCATGATGCACTGAATTACACGACATCCGTAGGCGTGCGTTGCCAACTCCATCACACGTCCTGTAAAGGCCTGTACAATAAACCCACAGCGTTGCGGAGTAACCTCCACACACTTTTGCACAACATGGTTTCCATTTTGATCTTGAATGCACTTCGCCACATTTCCCTTGAGCTCTGCCAGTATGATGTCTAGCCCTTCAGGAGGCATCACCTCAATACATTTTTGAATCACCCGGCAACCGTACGTTTGAAGGGTTAGGGGCACCACATTGTTTTGCAATCGCGTAGCTGCGTATGCCAGCTGACGTGCATTACCTACCTCAAGAAGCTTTTGTAGCACGTAATTGCCAAAGATGTCCGTTACAAGGTCCAGTGGAGATTCAAAGATCTCATGGAAGAGTGCATCCACCTCATCATGGGTGGCACTATCCACAGCTCTCTGAATAAATCGACTACCTTCTTGATCCTGTGCAAATTCCACTGCATAGCCCAAGATATGCGAAATGCGCCAATGACTGGTTGCGCCGTTAATAGCATCTACACGGTATTCTTCCAGACGAGCAGATCGTGGCTGAAGCGGTTCGCTGTAGGATGCCCCACGGCCTGACGATTTTCCACCAGCGGAATTCCACCTTCCACTGCCTGCCCCACGTCCTCTGCCGCCACCGCCTCCACCACCCCGCCTACTACGGCCGCCACCGCTGCCACCACCACCGCCGCCACCGCCACCTCCTCGCATCATACTTGAGTCCGTGACAGGCACCATCGTCATAAATGCGGGCTGCACATGTGCTGGATCGGACATGCCAGCCACAGCTGTGTTGTAATAACCGGCCACAGCAGAGTCTGTGTAATAATCAAAAGGATTCATAGGTTCTTGTGTATAGTATTGTTGATTTACGGCTGGCAACGCATTGGCACCCCCACGAAAATCTGCCGTGGTATTCCATTCCGTGTAGAGAGGCTGGGCGGGCATGGGGGGTACGGCTTGCGACATGTCACGCTCAGCATTAGGGACAACACTGCTATTCTGTGCGCCCATGCGAGAGTGAGCGTAGGCACGTAACGTGTTCGGCGTGGCCGTCGTTGCTAACGGTGTTGGTGCATACGCCCCAAAGAACTGTGTCCCTGGGCTCAGCATATTCTCGTCATGCTGTTGAAACCCAGCCGCGTAGGGGTTAAAGGCGCGCTGTTCCTGGGCCTGCTGCAGGTTCTTTGCGTCCAACTCTAAGCGAAAGTTTCCTTTTCCAGGTTCCACCCCACCTCCTCCAGACAGATTCATCGGTCCCACCACACGTACTGCGGAGGCGTTCTCCCATGGTTCCTCAATAATGTCCCGCGAGTTATAGCGGGGGTCTGCCAGTGGCGGGAGCAGCTGGCTGTCATGCAGTCTCTTGCTGTTGTACCATCTCATGTACGCCAGTGAGCGACGCATGTCTTCCGTTGGTTGTTTCCCCTCGTGCAGAAGGAGTTCAAAGTCCAGTGCTGTATAGCGCGACCATGGCGCGGATGACGTCTGCTGCTGTGACGGCGGTGGGGTGCTACCGACAAACGGGGGCGAACGTCGGTCCGCGTGACCGGGGAAGCTGCTGCGCATATGCGGCGCAAACGCCATCGCAGCTCCGGCTTCCATTCCATACTCGCCGCTTTTGTTCACCGACGGCATCAGCTGTTGCTGTTGTTGCTGCTGCACACGCTCGCCTTCCTCCCCCCAGGAGCGCTCTACCACGTCCAACGAAAACATATCGCTGCCTTAGTGTGTGTGTGCGTGCGTGGGCGTGTTTAAATGTCCTTACAAGTGGCTGAATGGAAGTTTGGTTGAGTGTGTATCCGTGTGCAATAGTGTCAACTAAATATCCCCTTCGCAACGCAATAATCATAAAAAAAAAAGCGAGATGCGGGGAGAGCAGGCGAGGGACGCAACAACACATAAATGGGGGCGCGAGGGAAGGGCAACGGGTTGCCAGGCAGAGCTCCCCCCACCACCCACGCACACATCCACACACCGCCGTTACAAACCAGTACGGACAACAGCGGCAACCTCCCACTTCCCCAGGCCGTCGCAACGAGTCCAACTACTGGAACAGCACAGAGCTACATCACTCTATGCACGTAGCTAAGCATGCGTGTGGCCGTGGTGGGATAGCGTTGCTGTTTGCTACGTGTGTGCAAGTATTACCTGTTCCATCCCTTAGATCGCACGCCCTTTTCCAGAAAATTTGCCAAAAAAAAAACAGAAGGAGTTCAACATAAGAGTAAAAATAAAAAAATGCTTCGGCTTTTTGAAACCCCCACTGGAAAACTATTTTTCTTTTCTCCCAACATGTATTCCGTGCAATCACCTACCCGCCGACCGTATTCCTCTTCACTGGAAAAAAATAATTCTCTCATCGACCGGCTCTTCAGCAACACATCCGCTCTACACGCATCCCCCACGCCCCGGTGGCGCGTCTGACTCGAAACAAAAACAAAAACAAAATTCAAAAAACACACAAAAAAAATCATTTCCACTATTTCTAATAAAAAAGTGCCTTCGTGCCCCACACCATTACAGCTAAGGAGAGGTGTAGGTTACTTCACACTCATCATATTTCCTGCACTTGTGAAAAGGACGGAAATACAAGCAGGCGATAGCCAAGAGCAGCACAAGGATGATGGAGCCAAGGACAAGCCCGACGACGAGGGCGGTGTTGCTCTTTTTTTCATCATTCACAGGCACGGGCTGCGGCACATCGTTGGGCTTCCACCCAGGGACATGCTCCCCAGCCCCCAGCACAAGAAATCCGGCGCCTTGCGCTGCGCCCCACTCCGTCCCCGACGCACGGATACGGACCCTGATCGGGTACGTGCCGTGCTCCTTGTCCCGCGGGATGCTGAGGACGCAGGTAAGCTCCGTCTCCGTGGCGGCGGTCAGCCTGCACAGAATAGGGTTGGCGGCCACATCGTCACCCACCACCACATCGTTGTACGAGGGCTGAAGAGGGTTGAAGTTCGTCCCGTGGAAGATCAACTGCGCACCTGTGACACACTTCACGCTTGCGGCAGCACAGCTCCCGTCG